AATGTCTTAGGCCTTCACATTCACTCACCACTCACTCACTGACTCATCTAGGGCAACTTCTAGTCTGGCAAACTCTGTTCATGGTAAGTGTCCTAGACAGGTGTACCATATTTTTGCTGTACCTTTATAAGTAGAATTAGATAAACAAATACCATTGTGTTACAACTGCCAACAATATTCAGTACAGTAACATGCTACACAGTTTGTAGCCTAGGAGCAGTAGGCTATACCATATAGCCTAGGTGTGTAGTAGGCTACACTATTTGGTTTGTGTAAGTATACTCTACGATGTTTGCACAGTGATACAATTGCCTAATGATGCATTTCTTAGACTGTATCTCCATTGTTAAGTGACATACGACTGCCACTCAGTATCACTGGGGATTGGGTCCAGGATTTCCTCCAGCAGATACTAAAATCTATGGACGCCCAAGTGCTTTATATAAAATGGTGTAGTATTTGCATATAACCTATATGCATCCTCCTGTGTATGTTCAATCATCTCTAGATTGCTTGTAATACCTAATATAATGTAAACAGTTGTTATACTATATTGTTTAGGAAATAATAATAAGGAAAAAAAGGCTGCACATGTTTAGTACAGATGAACCCATCCATTTTTAAAAAATATTTTTGAATATTTGGTTGAATCCATGGATATGGAATCCATGGATGCAGAGGGCCGACTATATACAAATCCATAGATCTGTAATGATGCTTGTGATATAGTGAAATATCTTATTTGGCCTTCATCATATTTCCTGACAAATAGTTCCTAAAATCCTTAGGCTCTCTGGAGTGATAAGAACATCTTTTGCATGCTGACAAATGATCTCAGATAGCTGGTTGCCAAGGGAACCAACCCCCTGATTAGAGAACTGGAACTTTCAGCCCCACCTCTCAATTCTGGGAATGCTAGAGAGGGTGAAGACTGAGCTAATAAATCAATGGCCAATGATTTAATCAATCTCGCCTAAGTAAGTTTCCATAAAAACCTAAAGGCCTGAGTTCCAGGGGCTCCTGGAGAGCTGAAGACATGGAGGTTCCTGGAGAGCCGTGCAGTCTGGCCAGAGAGGACGAAGCTCCGCCCCCCTTCTCCCATGCCTTGCCCTGTGCATCTCTTCCACTGGCTATCCATCTGTATCCTTTGTAATATCCTCTATAATACATAGGTAAACATATGTTTTCACATTTATTATGTTTTTCCCAAATTCTAGGTTCTAGCAAATTAATGTAATCCAAGGAAAGGGTCATGAGAACCCCAATGTATAGCCAGTCAGTCAGTGGCACATGTAAACCTGGGGTTTGTGACTGGCATCTCAAGTGAGGGGTAATCTTGTGAGACTAAGCCCTCAACCAGTGGGATCTAATGCTATTTCCAGATAGATAATGTCAGAATTGAATTAAATTAGAGGACACCTAGCTAGTGTTCTTTGGGGAATCTGCTGCAGAACTGATTGCTTGCTTAGCGTGTGGAAAAATGCCCCACAAATATGGTGTCAGTAATGTTGACTCAGTGAGTGCAAGTAGGAAAAACACTCTTTGGTTTGGTTTTTCCTACATCCTTCCAATGCTCAAAAGCAAAGCAAAACAAACAAATACAAACCAACAAAAACATATTCATTGGTCTCCTTTGGAGGTTGCTCAGGCACCAAATTCTTATGTGAAAACATTTTAAGGGAAAGAATCAAGAGTTCAGGTAGCGGCTCATGCATGTAATCCCAGCACTCTGGGAGGCCAAAGTGAAAGAATTGCTTGAGCCCAGAAGTTGTAGACCAGCCTGGGCAACATAGTGAAATCTTGCTTCTACAAAAAAAAAAAATTAAAAATTAGCCGTACGTGGTGGTGTGTGCCTATAGCCCCAACTACTTGGGAGGTTGAGACAGAAGGATCACCTGCTCCCTGGTCCACAAAACCAGTCCCTGATGCCAAAAAGGTTGGAGACCACTGATCGAGACAACAAACAGTTGCCAAAACCTCTAAGCAAAAGATCAGTGGTGAGCCGGGCTCGGTGGCTCAGCCTGTAATACCGCGCCTTTGGGAGGCTGAGGTGAGTGGACTGCCTGAGCCCGCGGGTTCAAGACCCGCCTGGGCAACTTGGCAAGACCTCATCTCTACAATAAATCAAAAAATCAGCCGGGCGTGGCAGCGTGTGCCTGTAATTCTGGCTACTCAGAAGGCTGAGGTGGAAGGATCACTGGAGCCCAGCAGGCGAGGCTGCGGTGGCCGGGAACGGCCACTGCACTCCAGTCTGGGCGACCGAGTAAGACTCCAACTCAAAAAAAAAAAAAAAGATCAGTGGTGAGCTTTAGAACGAACGGCTGGATTAGGCTGACACCGTCTGACCTCACTGATCATTTGATTATTCTTAACATCACTAATATACTACATGCCTCCCAATGCAATGCAACAGAAAGTACACAGTGTACCCACAAAATACTCTCAATGAAAACAAAGAACCAAATCTACCCAAGCCTCTAAAGCTAACTCCAATTTACAGAAAATACAGCAGATAATGGAACTAGCTAAATGACATTACAAGGACATGACCATCTAGATCCCAAATCTGGGAAACTGTACAGCACAAAGGACATTCCATATTTCTTTAGCAAACACTTAAAAACAAGGGAGGGAGAACAGTTACAGTTAAGAGAAACCTAAGATTTTAGCTTGGAAACAGATACTAATGAATAAATTATAAAAAGACACCCGAAACAACTAGAAAAACTGAATAGTCTGGGTATTAGGTGATAAAGGAATAATGGCTAATTCTGTGATTCTGCCAAAAAAATTGTCTTACTTTTAGAGATACATACATAGATAAAAGAACACATTGGATTTCCTTTAAAATACTCAAGGAAAGAAAAGAAGGGCAAATGTGTGTAATATTAAAGATGAAACAAGAACAGCAAAATATCGATGGCTACTGAAGCTGAGTGATGAGTGGGTGGGGGTGAGGAGGGGTCATTACACCCTCTACTTTTGTGCATGTTTAAAAATCTCCCAGGTTGGACACAATGGCTCAGGCCTGTAATTCCAGCACTTTGGGAGGCTGAGGTAAAAGGACTGCTTGACCCTAGGAGTTTGAGACTAGTCTGAGCAGCATAGCAAGACACTGTCCCTACAAAAATTTTTAAAAATTTGGCTGGGCTCGGTGGCTCAGCCTATAATCCCAGCGGTTTGGGAAGCCGAGCTGAGTGGATTGCCTGAGTGCGCAGCTTCGAGACCTGCCTGGGCAACTTGGCAAGACCTCATCTCTACAATAAATCAAAAATTAGCCGGGTGTGGTGGCAGAATGCGCCTGTAGTTCTGGCTACTTGGAAGGTTGAGGCAGAAGGATCGCCAGAGCCCAGCAGGGTGAGACTGTGGTGGCTGGGAGTGTGCCACTGCACTCCAGTCTGGATGACAGAGTGAAAAACTCCAAAAAAAAAAAAAAAAAAATTAGCTAGGCATGGTTGTGTGCCTGTAGTCCCAGTTACTTGGGAGGCTGAGGTGGAAGGATCTCTTGAGCCCATGAGATTGAGGCTGCAACAAGCTATGATGGCACCACTGAATTTCAGACTGGGTGATAGGGAGAGACCCCTATCTTTAAAAAATTAAAAATCTTGCTAATCAAAAATAAGGAATTAAACTGTAATCGTTGGCAAAATTTTAAAACAGTAATACACACTTGACTGAGGTACAGAAAAAGAGGCATTTTCAAAGGAAATGAACAGAATTACTTCCTAAAGAATTTAACAATATGTATGTCTATTAAAATTTTACATTCAATCTAGCAAATTTACTTTGAAGAATTCTAAAAAAACTCTCATAGATACATCTAAAATAATCTCCCAGCAAAACATTATTAACACTTCATTTCTAAGTTATGGTATATGTACATATATATTTTTTATAGCTATTAACTATCAAATTGTAGAATAATACTAAATGACATGGGAAAATGTCCTGGGTAAACTGTTAAGTGTAAAATGCAGGCTATAAAATGGTATACATATTTTGACCCATTATATTTTCTTAAAACTATTCATACACTTTTAAAAAAAGTCTGAGAGATGCTATTTTTAATTGATAGGATTCAAGTACTTTGATTTTCTATTCATGAGTATGGTATATTTGTAGTAAAAAAAAATTCTATATTTTAAAGTTCAAATCTGGATCACTTTGTGAGAATGGTTAATAGTGGAATAATAAGTAGGTAAAGTGGTGACTTTTACGATACTGAACTAAATGACAGAAGGGTATCAGGATAAAACTGAATTCACATTAATTGTTAATTTTGAGAAGGCAGGCGTTTAACACTCTACTGTGAAAAAGATCAGGTTCTTTTTTTTTTTCAAACATTAAAATTTTATTAGGTATTTAGATTACTTTGAAACTTTCAATTGTATAAGTATTTCAGAATTAGCATCTTTGTGCATAAAACTTTCTTAATTTTTGATAATTTTATAAGAATAAATTTTAAGAATTACCACTCATAGTTCTAAATGTACAAGTAGAGGTATCAAGATAGAGAAAGTTAGAAAAGGATTGAAATTTACATAAGCCTTAATTGGAGAGGGATAAACCCCTAAATTAAATTACCTAGGATGACCGACAAGGTTACAGAAGTAAAAATCCTAACACAATTCTGAAAATGATCATAGTGGTGTGTTAGACAATTCTTCCTGAGTTTCTATTGTGAGTTCCATCCTGACAGATTATTTGCTTAAAATTCTAAGAGAGAAATTTATTTGCATACCAGAATCCAAAAAGAAATGTAAGGATAATATAAAATAGAAATATAATCTCATCTATTGAATTCAGTTTATGTGCCTTGGGTTATATCTGTTAAGTGAATAAATTGGATATATTAGAATCCAGAAAATCCCATAAAACTACACTCTCTATGTGGTTAATAATCAGTGAAACCAGCCTTCCAGCATCTTCACTCACTAGCTTTAAAATTTCAGTTGTCTCCTATCTAAATAAGGCAAAAACAAAGAAAATGTCCAGACTACCTGGTTTCCGTACTTTCTTTAGTTCCTCATACTCCTTGTTTTCTGGATTTGGAGACTCTAGAAAGCTGATTTCTTCTGCGACACTTTCCCCCTCCTGGCTCTTGAGGCTGTCTTCTTCTTCTTGAATAGGGGGATCTAACTCGGATTCTTCTGAATCAAGAAATATCTGACCAGCAACTACCCTGCCTGCGGTAGTATGGTCCTTTACAGACTCATCTGATGGCAAAGAGGTCTGAAAATAGACAGTATTTTTGTTATCGACAAGACCATTTGACTGTTACTTTTACTAATCCAGATAACATGTCTCCATCAGCTCCCTGAAGTGCCACACTCGCCCATCGCTCTAGGCCTTGGCATGCTTCCACCACACATCTTCCTCACCTGCCTCTTACTCTTTCTTAGAATTTCAACTTAGATGTTCGGTCCCCCAGAAACTTCCTTAATTCCCCAAGTCTGGGTTAGGTTCTCCCCCTACATGCTCCCAACATATCTTATACTTCCTACTTTTATTTGTAATCCCTCAAATCTAGAGACTAGAGCTCACAACTGATTGGTCTCCTTAGATATGTAAGAATCAGTCTTAGTCATTCAACCAACCAAATGGTAGAGGTTAAGTCTTCATACTGAAAAAAACAAACAAACCCTAAACACTAAAAAAAAGGAGTAAAATCAACCTTTCATTAGGTAGTAAACATGTTACTGCCATAAGTCTCTTGTACACGCACACACAGAACATTCAATTTGAAATTAAATCTAATAGCCAACACCCCTTCCACCCTTCCTTCATTTTTAGAGACAGGGTTTCACTCTGTCACTCAGGCTGGAGTGCAGTGGTGCCATCATAGCTCACTGAAGTCTCGAACTCTTGGGTTCAAGCAATCCTTTTTCCTCAGCCTCTGGAGTAGCTGGGACTACAGGTGTGTGCCACCACGCCCAGCTAATTTTTTGTATGTTGCCCAGGTTGGTCTCGAACTCCTGGCCTGAAGTAACCCTCCCACCTCAACCTCCCAAAGGGCTAAGATTATAGGTATGGGCCACTGTGTCCAGTTAACAGCCAACCCCACTGATGGAAATATTTCCTATTTTCTCTCATAAAGAAGTAATATTTTTTCAAATTCCAGAAGAATTAAAACTAATACTGATACCATCTATCCTTTTCTTTTAAATTCAGTTCTTTTACTCAAAAGATGTGGACTTCAGATCTTTTCTAAGGTACATAATTCATGCTTTTAAATTGAGCAGCAAATATTGGCCAGTACACACGGTAGTACACACCTTGGAATCTAAGGATTCTTCCTGGCTGCCTTCTTCATCTGCAAAAGAAATTTTAAGACAATTTAGTAATCTTTCTTGTTGGGAAATTACAGTTGTTATTAAAAAGAACCATGTGATAAGTACAGCAAATAAAAATCAGATACCGGATGAACCCAGAATTATTTAAAAATTGGTTGTATTCAGTAATTGTTCAGAAAAAGATTAAGTGAAAGGAAACAGGTCAGGAAGTTGGTTTTCTCTTTCTTCAGGAAAGACATTAGCTTTGATTTGTTACAAAAGTAGCACCACCAATAGCCTCACCACAAAAACAGACACTTCTTCAGATCCCATCCAATTACTGTATGAGAATGAGTTACCAAGTTCATAAAAATAAATCTCTCATTGCATACTCCAGGCTTCCACCTATTCTGTTCCTTTGCTCAGGATCTGGTGTTACAGTAGCTTATTTTCATGCTGATTAGCATTTTATTGGTCTCTAATACTACTGAAGATAGAAACTAAGAATTAATATCTGACAGCAGAGTTGCAAGACAAATATATTTAGGATTTAGTATTCTACTTTAAGACAGAACCAGATGCAGGTAAAAGATAGCATCATTTATCATACATTCACTCAATTGAGGACTAATTATTAAGAAATTGATAGCTTAAATTAAATAAATAATGAATCCAGCGACTAGCTACACCTTTCTTCCAGATTCACACGGTCTGCTTTAGATTTGACTGATTATGTTAATTTTCCTTCTATTATTTCTGTGTTTTCTGGCTACTCCTTATTTTCTGGCTATTATCCTTTTTTCTGCTCTTATATAAACACATGCAACAACTCCATGTTCCAAGGCAAATGTTTGATCTGTGTATTCCTTGCCAGTTTAAAACAACAAATCTGTCAGATTATCTCTAAGTTTCCTTCTTGCTGTTAAAATTACCTGATTTTAGTAGCGCCTGCTCCATAAGCTACAAGAGAAATTAACCTGGAGACAAAACACTGCAGAATCACTTGGATTTTACTAGAAAATTTGGTATGATAGTTGCCATTTATCTTTACTTCATATGGTTATATCCCAAATGTCATTTGTAACTTACAACTCTATGAAATATAACAAAAACATGTTTTATAATTTGTTATCAAAGTACTGAGCTAACTTTCAGAAGTATAACCAACTCAGTTACACAGAAAACACACAATTCTATCTCACAATATTTGTTTCTCTTGAATATTTAAGAAAATCAGTCAGCTAGTGAGGTTTTGCCATATATAAAAGGTCTGTCAATTCAAAGAAAATGTAAATTGTAGCTACTATTTACATTCATCTACTTTTAGATTATTTTTCAAGTATGTTTATTTTTGGCAGGTGGGGAGGAGAAGGGTATGGCATGTATTAGTCCATGATCCCCGTAACATTCAGGTAGTGATTCAGTTAATTCACAATTATCCTTCCTGCTAACTTCACAAGTATCACCAAAGCCCAAATTCTAACAGATGGCTCAAATTCCACTCTCAGCAAATCTTTTTTTTTTTTTTTTTTTTTGAGTTGGAGTCTTACTCTGTCGCCCAGACTGGAGTGCAGTGGCCACTCCCGGTCACCGCAGCCTCGACCTGCTGGGCTTTGGCGATCCTTCCACCTCAGCCTTCCAAGTAACTGGAACTACAGGTGTGCGCTACCACGCCTGGCTAGTTTTTTTGATTTATTGCAGAGATGAGGTCTCGCCAAGTTGCCCAGGCAGGTCTTGAACCCGCAGGCTCAGGCAATCCACTCACCTCAGCCTCCCAAAGGCGCGGGATTACAGGCTGAGCCACCAAGCCCGGCTTTTTTTTTTTTTTGAGTTGGAGTCTCACTCTGTCATCCAGATGGGAATGCAGTGGCATGCTCTTGGCCACCTCAGCCTCGCCCTACTGGTCTCTGGCTATCCTTCTGCTTCAGCCTTCCAAGTAGCTGGAGCTACAGGCATGTGCTACCACGCCCAGCTAATTTTTTATTTATTGTAGAGATGAGGTCTTGCCAAGTTAGCCAGGTGGGTCTCGAGCCTGTGGGCTCAGGTAATCCACTCGCCTCGGCCTCCCAAAGTGCTGGGATTACAGGTTGAGCCACCGAGCCCGGCCTATTCTCAGCAAATCTTTGGATAAAGAAAAAAATTTATCTTTCATGTATATCAAAGTTGTGTGTGTAGATACATGTTAATCAATTACAAAAATCAACCAGTTAGTATATTAAGAGCGGACAGTAAATGTTCAAATGCATACAAAATGTCCTTAAATACAAAACTTTAGATTAGTTGAAACTCTAAATCACTAATCACTAAACTGCTAAATTAAGTACCCCACCACAACAGGTGACAGAGGTAGTTAACGGGTAAATAATACAGACATCTCTAAATAAATTTAAAGTCATTTACATTTGAGACACTACAAGCTGTTAGGCATCAAAGTAGCAAAATGTGTTTTTGAACTCCAAGAGACATGATTTGTGACATCAGGGTTATTTCATATGAATTGCATCATGCTTCTTTCTCTCTCTCTCTCTTTTTACAAATTGGGACTACATACTAATATTACTGGTAAATAAGAGAATTCTTTCTCATTTACTAAACTGGGACACCCTACTCCAGATGATAGTCTTTTTTTTTTTTTTTGACTTGGAGTCTCACTCTGTCGCCCAGACTGGAGTGCAGTGACTGCTCCCGGCCACTGCAGCCTCGACCTACTGAGCTCTGGCCATCCTTCTGCCTCAGCCTTCCGAGTAGCTGGAATTACAGGCGCGCGCTACCACGCCTGGCTAATTTTTGATTTATTGTAGAGATGAGGTCTCGCCAAGTTGCCCAGGCGGGACTCGAACCAGCGGGCTCAGGCAATCCACTCACCTCAGCCTCCCAAAGGCGCTGAGCCACCGAGCCCCGCTGATGATAGTCTTAAAGCATAAGTTCTTTTTTCTTTCAAACTGATACATACATTCACATAACACTTTTTTAAAAAGTTGTTTATAACATAAGAACTTCTGAAATGTAGTATTCAAATGAGGATTAAAGACACTGCAGTTATGCATAAACAAAAAGCAAATACTAATGCTTTTATCAGAACACAGGCATCAAATAACAAGAAAAAATGCAAAAGGATTCAAAGAAGTTGTAAATTTCTCACCAGTGTCACATCCACGACATAATAGTTCACATTACTAATTGTATACCTTCCTTTGAAAAAGATCAGTTTTTATTATTATTATATCAACTAACAAAGCTGCAAAGTACCAGGGATATTCTTTCAGGGAAAAGTGGTCATTACAACTTCATTTTCTCACTCTTCATGTAAATTCAACAGACCAACACCTTCTGACACAGAAAGTCTAAAGAGTTCAGTGAAAAGAGACCAGCCAGCCGAGCTCAGTGACTCAGCCTGTAATCCCAGAACTTTGGGAGACTGAGGTGAGAGGACTGCCTCAGCCTGCAGGTTCGAGACCAGCCCCGGCAATTTGGTGAGACCTTGTCTCTGCAAGAAATCAAACATTAGCTGGGCATGGTAGCTTGCACCTGTTGTTTGGCTACTTGGAAAGCTGAGGCAGAAGGATCATCGGAGCTCAGCAGGTCAATGGGGTGGCCATGAGCTGCACTCCAGCCTGAGTGACAGAGTGAGACTCTAATTTAATGAAAGAGAGAGAGGGGGAGAGAGAGAGAGAGGGGGGGGGGGGGAAA